CATTATAAAAAATATATATATATATATATATATATATATATATATATATATATATATATATATATATATATATATATATACCTATATAGATTTTATAATTATTAATTTAAAAATAATGAAATGAAATTATTTTCCATTTAATTACAATCATATAACTTTTTCTCTATATCAAATATTATATGAGGATTATTAAAAATATAAAATCATAAAAGATTGACTTGAAATTCAGAAAAAAAAAATTTAAAATATATATATAATAAGAAAATATAAATTTTTATTAATTTCAAAATTTTTTTAAAAAAAAAAAATGTATAAAATATAGTTTATTCATTGTATCTTTTATAAATCAAAAGGAATATTTATTTATAGAAAAATATAAACTATCTTTTAGATAATGTAGAAACTTTAATGATATAAATTATTGTATATATTTTAAAAAAAAAAAAAACAATCTTTATACAATATTCATGAAAAATAATGTAATTTTATTATTATAAAATAATAAAAAATTATTTTATAATATATTCTGAAAAAAATAATATTCAATTTAAGGATAAATTTAAAAAAACAATAAATATTTTTTTATAAATCTTTTAATAAAAATATTAAACAAATTAAGGGCAGGTGGTGTAGTGGTATCACGCTTGATTTGCATTCAAGAGGTCCGGGGTTCAATTCCCCGTCTGTCCATAATTTTAAATTTTTAAAAATAATTTAGCAGTATAAAAATTTATTTATAAATTTAAATATATATATATAAATATAATTTTATTAAAAGAAAAAATTTTAAAAGACTTTTTTGTTATTTTATATATATAAAAAAAAAAATCTTCAGAAAAATTTATTCTTCTAAAATATATATTTATATATATAAACAAATAATTTCAAAAATTATGAGGTTATTATATAAAATAACCATAATTATTATTCACTTCTAATATAATTTTTATTCATTTCTAATATTATTATTCACTTCTAATTTTATTATTCACTTTTAATATAATTTTTATTAATTTCTTATATAATTTTATCTTCAAATTTGTTATTTTGTATATTTTTTTTATTTTTTATTTTTATTTTTAATAAAATTTTCTATTAATTCCCACGCCGGGAATTGAACCCGGGCCTTTCGGGTGAGAGCCGAATATCCTAGCCACTAGACCACGTGGGATATAAAAAATTACTCTTCATATTTATTATTGAAAAGTTAATTTTTTTTTTTTTTTTTTTTTTTATTTCTTTAATTTTCTATTATTTTTATTAGTTATGTTGTATAATTTTTATATAACTATAATATTAATCATTTATATAATTAACAAATTTTAAATTGTAAAAAAAAAAAAAAAAAAAAAAATTTTTTTTTTATTGAATTAATTCGTAAACAAATTTATTAGGAATATTAATTATAAAAAATTATAAAAGTCAAAATTTCAATTGAATTTTAACAAACATATAAAAATTTTAATAAATTAAAAAAAAAAAAAAAAAAAAAATTTTTATTATAATTTTATTTTAGTTCTTTAAAAATAAACTTTTATTTACTTCTTTTTTTACATCATTAATATTATTTTTATAACCATTTCTAGAAGAATATTTTAATGTAATATTCTTATTATATCTCTTTTTATCTGTTTTATCAATATTTAAAAAACCTTCATATTCCATATCTTCGATATCTAATAAACTCAATTCTTTTAAGAATTGCATATAATTAGATAAATCATTTAAAATATTTTTTTCTGTCTTTATTGAATGACTTACACTAACTGAATCTAATACATTCATAATATTTTCATCAATTGATTTGGTTATTTCTTTCACATTTTCAAAGGAATTTATCTCACATTTTATTATATTATTTATTATTATACAAATTAATAGAAAAATTTTAACTGTTCTCATTTTTTTAATCATAAAAAAAAAAAGAGAAAATTAATAAATACAATATATATATATATATATATATATATATATATATGTGTGTTTTAATTATATTTTATCTGTTTTTTTTTTTTTTTTCAAGTTGTCTTTTTTGTTACATATTGTATCTTTTTATTATTCACATACTAACAATCATAGTGTTTTACAATAATTTGAAGAAAAAATAATAAATTTTTAGTTTACAATTTAAATAATCTTAGCTTCTTTTTTTTTAATTAAAAAATAATACTTTTTAATTATATTAATATATATATATATCTAAGGTTATATTTTTTTTTTTTTTAAATGTGTAAATACAATTATATAAAATGAAATTTTAAATACTTATTATATAAAATTTTTTTTTGCTTTCTTTCAATAAAATTTTTTTATGTTTTACATTCTTCATGGAATTTTATTTTTATTTACACTTTTAGGTGAAAGTGTAAATTAGTGAATGAAATGTAATGTTTAAAATTTTATTTTATCATTTTTTTTTTTTTTTTTTTAAATATATTATATATTTAATGAATAATTAAGAAGATTCATAAAGTGTATAATAAATAATATTATCAATTTTAATTTTTTTTTCATTTCTAAAAACAGTAATAAATATTTATAGACAAAAAATATCTCCTATTTAAGTCTCATACATTCCAGTAGATCTTTTGTTTTATTAGTTATTTTTCTTATAACATTTATGTAATTCTATATTTTTATTTAAATATAAATATATACATATATATAAATATATTAACAAAATATAAAAGTGATATAAAGAATTATACTTATAATTCTAATATAAAAATAACACAATTTTCTAAATTACCCATATATTTTATTGTCCTCTTATATTTAAGACTGTAACCGAATAAACCAAATGAAATTTTTAATTTAAAAATATGTAAACATGTTAAAAAAAGAATATTTAATATATATATATATTTAATAACAATTTCTTCTACATTATTTATGACATGAAAAATTAAACCAAGTTATTACTATAAATAAATTTTGAGTAGTTTAAAATATATAAACTACAAAAAAAGAAAAAAGCATTTCAAAATATATTAAAAGAAAATATAATAAATAAATTCCTTACATCGGAATTAATTTAGTGATATATATTTGATATACTTTTCTTTTATATGTAAGTTATTAAATATTTTTCTTTATTAGTAATGTTACTTCTTTTAACAAAAAAAATAAAATAAAATAAAATAAAGGTATACATAAAATAGTTATTAATATTAAATTTTGTTTATTTAATAAAAAAAAATAAGAAAAAATTAAAGACTTTATAAAAATTTAAGACAAACATTTAATTAAAATATATGTGAAAAAATAAATATTTTAAAGCTCTTGTATTTATTTTTATATAATTTTCATTATAACAAAGTTTTAAAATGTAAGAATAATAAATCTTTAATTTATTATTATTTATATTGTTTTTAATTTTATCTACGTTTTTTAATTTCTTCTTATTTTTTACAAATAAAAGTAACTGTTTAATGTATTTTATACTATAAAAATTAGTTAAGTTGCTAAATATATTTTTAGATATAAAATTTTCATCAATTTTTTTAAAATATATTTTAAAATCTTCTGCATTATTAATAACTTTTGACGAATTTAAACCATTTTTTTTATTTTCATTTACATATATATTTTCTCCTTTTTCTTTACTTTCTTCTTCTTTAGATTCTTTTTTTTTTTTTTTTTTTTTTTGATAAAAAATGTTTATATGGTTATCTGATAATTTTATTTCATCAAGTTGACTAAAAGATAAAAAAGCATCGTAACTATATAACCAAGGATCGTAAAAATAAAATAACTTTTTTTTTTTTTTAATTTTATAATTTACATATAATGTAAATAATGTTTCTAAATTTTCAAAAATATTAGTTATAGAATTAACACTTGGTATTATTATCTTAAAAAATATATGATAAAAGTATATATTTTTTTGAATGTATGATTCTAATTGCTTTTCTATTATCTCAATTTTTTCATTAATTTTTAAATCTCTTACAACAGTTGTTAAATTATCATTGTATTTTTCATTTGGGGGATTTTCAAAGCAATAAAGAAATAATTGTTCTAAATTTTTTACTTTCAATAGACAAATATTTTTTTTGCAGTTCTTTATAACATTGTCAATTATATCCTTTATACATTTATTCAATTCCTTTTCTATATTATTATTAATGTAAAGAAAATATTTTTTCTTTGAAAAATTGTTCTCAAAATTTATAGAATCATTCTCTTTTTCTTCTTTTAAATTATCTACATATTTTGTGTCTTCTTTTATATTTTCTATATTTGTTTTATATTTAAAAACATTTAAATTTTCACTTATCTCCTCTTTTGTATTATTCACACTATTTTTTTCTTCTTTTAAGACAACTATATTTGTTTTTTTTTTATCTAAATCATATATATCTTTTTCACCTTTTGATTCATTTACATTTTCTCCTTTTTCTGTGTGGTCACTTTCACTTTTATATTCTTCCTTACTGTAAATTTCTCTTTGAATATAATTATCTTCATATATTTTTGAATCATTATAATTATTATTAAAGTTAAAAGATTCATTTGCATTATCTTTAATATATTTAAAAATTATTTTATTAATATTTTTAAAAAAATAATTTAATAAATTATCAAAAATATTAAATTTTTTTTTAAAAGGAGGTACTGATAATGGAAGAAAAAACATCAACAAATTAAAACAACAATTATTAATTTTATAAATGTTTTTCTTAATTAATTTAAAACTTTTACTTTTTTTAATTACTTTTATTATTTTTTTTTTCTGTTTCTCATCCATTGTTGATTTATTCAATTCTTCATATATTTTATACAAATAGTTATAAATTTTTTTTAACACATATACTAATTTTTTTTTATTTAAATAGTTAATCAAAGAACTTAACAGTTTATCATAATTTTCTTTTTTCAAGTCATATATTAATGAATACCATAATTCTATTAACAAATTAATGAATACTAAAAAATAAAGAGAATAACTCATATTTTTATAAAAGATCTCAAGTGTTAATACTTTTTCATGTTTTTTATAAAAATCACTAATAAAATGATGTGTATTACTTATATTATTAACTAAAATGTTTTTCTTATTAATATATTTATTCATGTTATCTATATATATATTAAAAAAGAAAAAGTCATTTATATTCATATTAAATATTTCATCAATAAATTTATGTATAAAATCATTGTAATCATACATTTCATTAAATCCACTTTTCATTATATTTTTTACTTTTTTTAAATAAATTTGAAAATTTGGGATATTTATATCTTCATAAGAAAATTTATCATTTTGATGAAAAAATGAAAAAATTTCGAAATAATTTTTTGTCATTAATATATCATAAATAGTATCAAAACTTTTCAAAGTATGTTCGTTGAATAACTCACTTGATTCTGGTGTAAAAATTTTATTTTTATTTCTACATTCTATTTCACTATAATTTAAAAGTTTAGTATCAATATGGTTGTTAGATATTTCTTCATATATTTTCATGGTATCATTTAATCCCTTTTTTACTTCAACATTTTTATTTTCTTCTTCATTTTTAAATGAATCATCATTTTTTATATTTTCTTTATTACAATCACTCAATATATCAAAATATGCATAAGTATTATCAATTTCTTTATTAACTAAAGAATCATTCTTATTTGCATTGTTAGAAATAACTGTTTTGTGAATATAATTATTTTTATAAAACGAAGATTTTTGTTCATCATTTAAATTTTTTTGTATTTCATTATTTTCACATTCGTTTAAATTGTTATTAATATTTTCATAAATATTCTCTTCGTTTATATTACTCCCAATTATATCTTTACTAACATTTTCTATTTCCTCAATTATTTCAAAAAAAGAGGTATTCTCATTTTCAACGATAATTTCATGATTATCCTTTCCTCCTATATAATAATCAATAAATGCTATTTCAGTTTTTGAATCTTTTTCATCTTTTTTTTCATTCTCTAAATATCGAATGGAATCATTTTTATTCAGAATGTTATTTTCGTTAAATGTTTTACTTATATCTACTTTAAATGCATTTTTTTCATCATTTTGATATACAAAATTTTTATTTTCAATATCCTTATCATTTTTTTCTTCAAAAATATTTATATCTTCACCAAATATATTTTTTTTTTTATTATCTTTTTCAAAATAATTAACTTTATCTACTTTATTATTATCATTATCTATTTCAAAAAAAAATTCTTCATAATTTTTATCCGATATAAAAACATTTTCATTTATTTTATGAGCTTCTGGTAAAAAGAAATGATCACTTAATTCTATGATATCCTTATTTTTTTCTTCTAATTTAGAATTATCAACATTTATATCGTAAGTGTTCATGTTTTCTATGTCATCAAAAAAAAAATTTTTTTTTTCAAATTCTCCTTCATTCACATTTGAATTAGTTTGACACACTTTTTTATTATTATCTACAACCATTTCATAAGAGTTGTTAATTGTAGTTTCTACTTTCTTTAAATTTTCCACTTTTTGTCCACTTTCAATTATACTATTATTTCTGTTGATATTTTTAAAATCAATTTTATTTGAATTGTATATAAACAAATTATCATGTGAAGATATTTCACTTAATTTTTTATTTTTTTCTTCATTTTCTTCATAAATAGACTTCTTAAAATTTTTATTATTTAAACTAGTATTTATTTCTAATATGTCTAAATTATCATCTTTATTCAAGTTATCAAGATTGTTTATATTTAAGTTTTTTTTATAAAACTTTGAATCATTTTCTTCACTTAATAAATCGTCATAATTACATAATTTGTTATTATTGTCATATATATAGCTATTCTCATTAATTGAATTAATATTATTATTATGTATATTGTTGCTATTATTAACCAAATTAATATCATTTTCATTTATATCAATATTATTAATTAAATAGGAATTATTGCAAGATATATCTTTTTTAGTGTACCATTTTTCTAAATACAAATTATTATCCTTTTTAATTATCTCTTTTTTTTCTAAATTCTCATTAATGTTAGAATCAAAATCAAAGTTACTTTTATAAAAATGTTCACAAATAAATATGTCTAATTTATCTGTAGAAATAGAGTTTTTTTCTTCAGAATTATTTATAAGAGTATGATTCTCTTTTTCTTTTACTTCAGACACATTCTTTTTATTAAAAAAAAATTCATCAAAATGATTAGTATATTCTTTTTCTTGTTTTTCTTCACCATTTACTATTGTATTTATTAAATAATTCTCAGTATTACATTCTATATTTTTCTTTAAATTAATCAAATCATTATTTAAATTACTTTCTTTATTTATTGACATACAATTAAATTGTTCTAAATTATTATATGAAAATAAGTTTTCGTATTTTATTTCATTTTTATTTGCAAATTCATTTTTATTAATTTCTCTTAAATATTTTTCATCATCAATATCATTTTTCTTCTTACTATTAAATATCTCATTTTTGTGTCCATCAAATATAAAATTTTCTGATAAATCATAAATATCATTTATTTCATTTATTTTCTCATTTTTTTCTTCAAAAATAAAATTAATATCTTCTTTTATTGTCTCATTTTTCTTATCAATACAGTATAAATTTACAGAAGATTTTTTATTATCTTTATCATGAAAGTTAAATATGTCGAAATTTTCATCTATATTAGTATTTATTATTATGTCATTCTCAGAAGTATTACTTTTTAATTTTCTGTGATTAAAAATATCCTTATAAGATACTTCATTATTTAATGAATTAATATAATCTTTTTCACAAGAAGTTTCATTTGTACTAGCTTCATTTAAATGATTATTATTACAAAAAAGATTCTCCTTTTTTTTTTCATTTATAACACTCAATTTTAACTCATTTATAATAGAACCATTATCCTTAGAATATATAATATTTTCATTATTGTCATATATAAATTTTTTATAATCATCAATATTCTTTAAATCAAAAATTTCATTAAAATTTCTCTCATTTGATACTACTTCAATTTTTTCATGGTTTAATTTATCATTTTTTAATATGTTCTTATCACTATAAAAATATTCCATATTTGAATTTTTTGAATCATTATTACAGAAATCAACTTTATTAAAAAAATTAATTTCATCTTTTCCTTTTGGAGTTTGTATTTTATTATTTTCGTAAATATTAACATTATTTATAAAATCTGAATAACTATTACAATTACTGTCATATATTGATTTTTTTTTAAATTTATTACTATAGTCATTATTATATATATCATTATTTTTTTCATTGTTGATCTTATTATTTAATGAACTGTTTTCTTCACTAATATCATTTACATTTTTGTTAATATTACTATTTTTTTCAGTGTGTAAAAATATATTATATAAAGTTTTTATATTTTTTATATTTACTTTACTTTTATTTAAATTTTTCAGATCTGTATATTCAGTTTTGTATATTTTTTTATTTCTCTCTTTTTTGTCCTTTGAATAATCTCTATAAGTTTTCATCTTTATTTTCTATATTCTTATTTCTCTTTTTTTTTCCTTTTTTTTTTCTTTTTTTTTTTTTTTTTTCATTAAATACAGATATGTATAATCAACTAATATTATTTGTAAAGATATAACATTTTCTCATTCTTTTCCATATGTAATTTTTTTTTTTTTTAAATAGCTTTATTAAAATTTTTTTTTTTTTTTTTTTAACTTCAGAAACATTTTTATTCTTATGGAAAATATTATATTTTTTTAGATACTCATTATAAATGCTTTCAATTTTTATTCTCTATTTTTTTTAAAATATTCATTTTCTTGTTTTTTTTTTTTTTATAAAACTAAAATATATGTGTATAAATAATCAAAATATATTTATTTTGTTACTTTTTTTGTTCATAGGTTTATTCTTTTTAATTTTTTTTTTTTTTTTTTTTTAAATAAAATTTAAAAAATCCTTATAATTTAATATTTTTACATATTTAAATGAATTTATTTTTTTTTTTTATATCAATTATGTTTTGTATTTTTAGTATTTATATATTTATCTAATATAAACATTTATATATATACCTTCATCTTTATATATTAATAAATTTACAAATGAATACAAGTAAGAAGCTTTATTTAAATATAATAAATAAATTTTCTAATTTTAATAATAAAATAGAATTTAATGAAATAAAAAACTTTGAATAATTAAAAACATATTTAAAACATTACTATTATAATACACATTTATTATTATACTTTATTTTTATACATATATTTTAAATAATTTTTAAAATTAAATTCTTCTATAAATTATTTCTTTTTCTTAAATTTTACATATAATTCAAAATTAACATTTCTTATATATATATATATAAAATATCTATGCTTTGATAAAAAGAATAGTTATATAAATGTAAATAAATGGTTTTTTCATTATTAATATAATTTACATTATTTTATTAAAATTATTTAAAAAAAAAATTTCTCTTTTTATATTTATTAGAATTTAATGTTTATTTTACTTTTTTTTTTAATCCAGTTTCTTAAAAAAAAAAAAAAAAAAAAAAACTAGCAAATTTTTTAAGCATATAAAAATAGGAAAATAGAGAAATTCAAATAAATAATATACAGCCTAAAAATAATATTAATAGAAATAATAATAATTTTGTAATTTAAAAATTAAAGTGAAAATTATATTTTTTGTTATATCTTTTTTTGTTAATTAAAAATACATAATAATAAAAAAGATAAAATTGTAAAAAATATTATACAATAGAATGAACAAAAAAACGTTGAAATAAAGAAATTTTATTATTTATATATTTTTATTTTAATTTATTTGAATCACTAAAAAATATAGAATAACATAGAAAAAATAACAATATATTACATATTTCAAAAAAAAAAAAAAAAAATACATAAAAAAAAAAAAATAATTTACAAATTAGCATATAATAGAAATTAGAATTATTTGAAAAATAATTTATAAAGTAAAATGTAAGTTTTAAAAAGAAAAAGCATTTAAATATTTAAAAAAAAAATGTAGATAAAATTTAATATGGACATATGAAAATAAATTACAAAAGTGAAAAATAAAAACAGTATATTTATATATAAATAAAAATTCTATAAAAAGGAATGCATATTTTCTTCTTTTTATTTTATTTTTTTTGAAAAAGATAAATTATAAATTGTTATAATATCATTTATTATATTTTTTTTAATATTATCAGGATATTTTTTAGCTAATGATATTACTTTAGAAAAGTTATAGTCTTCATAAATATTTTTAGAAAGTTTAACACTAAAACAATTTCTCTTTATTTTTTTAAAATAGAATTTATTATCATAAATAAAATTATAATTTATTTTTTTATTTTTATATATGTATTTATAAGCACATATTATAGTTTTATAAATATCATTTTTATTTAAATTAGTAAATAGTAAATTTTTCATATTCTTAAATAAATTTTTATATTCACTTTTATCATGAATATAAATTAAGGTGTGCGAATAAAATAAGAAATCGTTATCATTAATATATGTCAATATATTATTAACACTATCTAGATTAAATTCAATATCATTTTCTACTTTTAAGTTATCCCTTATTTTACAAATGTCATCTTTTAATTTATTTTTCTCTTCATCAACCATTTTTTCTTTTATGTTATGTTTTGGTATATTAACATCTTCCTTTTTTATACAAAAACATTTTTTCTTATTATATATTTCTTCAATGTGTTCATATATATATTTTAATTTGCTTCTACATTCTAAATATAGATAAACTACGTGCAAGATGAAAATGTTAATATCGTAATTATTTAATTTTATTTTAATATAAAATATAATATCATGAAGAAAATTTAAATTCTTATTTATAAAAAGACAAAAGACAGATGACAAACAATAAGTAAAAATATAATTCCATTTGAAAAAATTTATTACATTATCTGCCAAATTGTAAATTCTTTTATAAATTAATACATTAATACAAAAATTTATATCTATTTTTTTACAATTAATTATATTAATAGAACTATCTAAGTTTATATTTAATAAATTCTGTTGTAACGTTATTAAATCTATACACCTATAAAAAAAAAAAAAAAAAAAAAGAAAAAAATTGAAAAGTATTACTAAAAAAAAAAATCAATATTTTGTAATATATATATGAAGCAAACCTTAATATGGTTTCAATAGAAGTAAATTGACTTTTATTTTTATGCATCTCTTCAAATAAGGTGTTAAAGTTACTCAAATAATACAATCTTTTATTCTTACTTTTATTTTTTTTATTTTTATGAAATATAAAGTTATCATAAAAAATCTTTACAACACTAGTTTTAGAATTATTTTTAATTTTTTTATTTGAACTAAAAAAAAAAAAAAAAAAAAAAAAAATTATAAAACTTATTGTGAAAAGTAATTATTATTACTATTATTATTCTTGTATTTATTTTAATTATAATTCAGTTTAGCATCTATTTATAAAATTACATTTCTAAATTTTTAATAATCAGAGTAAAATTTATTAAGGCATTATTTAAATATCCATATTTCATATCTCTGTAAAATATAATAATATTATCATAATTGTAAAAAGAAAAATTATATTTATAAATATATAGTTATAAAAAAGTATCAATATTAAAATTTAAGAAAATGGACAACATATAGCAATATTTTAAGTTTGTTTTTATAAAAAATTTTATTACATATTTTGAGAAATAGAGTAATTATATACACATATGATAGCTGCATTTAAGTAATCATTAGAAAAAATCTGAAAAAGCAATTAAAAAATTATTAAAGAAACAATAAAATACTAAAATATATATTATAAATTATTAGAATTAATTATCATTTATTTATATAAATCATATGTTATTATCTTATTTACCAGATAATTAGAAAGTAAAGTATACATTTTTTTTTTGAGTAAATAGAGTTTCATGTCCTTAAAAAAAAATAATAAATATATAAATGAAAATAAATAATTACAATAAAATTTACTTATTTATTATAAATATATAGATAAAAAAAAAAAAAATAGTAATTATTATATAATTACATGTTGAAGATTATAATTTTTTAAATTATGTATTTTCTGAAATATTTTATAAATATAATTGTATTTATATGCCCTTTTAATTATATATGTTAAATAAAAAGATCCAACATTCTGTAAAAAAAGAATACATATATATATATATATATATAATTTTCATTTTATTTTTTATAAATGTAAAATGAAATTTTTCTCTTAACATTTTGAATAATTAATTTGAAACATCTATTAGGTAAATCATATTTGGTATAAATATTCATTAAATTAGTCAAAGAGAAATATATTTTTAAAATATTTAAGTAGTTTTTATCAACTGATGAGTTTTTATAATTTCTCATTTTAACACATCTGAAAAGACAAAAGTATAAATAAATATAAAAATATTTAATTAATAATATTTTTTATAATATATGAAAAACTTATATCTATATTTAATTTTTTTTTTTTTTTTTAAATATATCTATGTATGATTATTATTCTTACTTAGTAGAATGTGGTAATAATAGTGATATTAAGAAAAAAAATTTTTGAGTTTTACTTATATTTTTTTTGTTAATTATTTTTTTATTCTTCAAATAAGTTATGTTGTCATATATTTCATTAACATTTTTTTTTAAATATTCTAACAAAATATATGGATTGTTACTAGCATATTTGTAACATAAAGGATAAGAATAATTATTGACATCATAAAAAAAATATTCATAATAATCTATTAATTCTATAGAAGTATAAAATTCAAAAATTGTTTTTTCTAATGAATTATTATGTAGTAGAATTATATAGTTCTGAAATTTTTGTAGTTTTTTCTTAAATATATCAATAATATTAATTATTTTTTTTTGTTTTACATAATTAGAATAAATAAAAGTGGTTTTTTTATTAAAGTATTTTCTATAATTTGTTAAATTATTTTTTACATTTTCATATTGACAAATTTTTTTTTTTTTTAATTCGCAGATCGCATTATTTTTTGTTACTATATTTATTTTTTCATCGACTGAGTTTATAACACTATCAAAAAAAAGGAAACATTCTTTCTTCTCATATTTTTCTTTTTTTTTCATTACATATGGATTTTTTATTAATTTTATTAAATACATAAATAATTTTTTCTGTGTAAATGTATTTATTTTTTCTAGTTTTTCATTAAAATTTGTAAAATGAATGTTATTATAATAGTTATAAAAATAAGAAAAAGTTATGTTATTTATGATATGCTTCTTGATAAAAATAGAAGAGAAAACTGAATATATATTTGATGGATATTCATATAAATCATTATTTAACCTACTTTTTACAATTTGTTCATAAAATAAATAATTATCACTATTTACATATTTACGAATGCTTAATAAATTATTACAACTAAAAAAATTATTTATATAATTGATTTTTCTTTTACAGTATAAATTATTTTTTCTAATTTTGTTAAGAATATTATCTTTTAAAATAAAATATGAGTGATAATTATAACATTTTGTTTGGATAATTATCTTATAAGTCTTATTACAATTTTCTGAAAAATTCTTGTTATATGTTTCATAATAGGAATTCACCTTATAACAACTTTCTCTTCTTATATTTTTAAATATTTCTATTTCTTTTATATTTATATTATTTGTTTTTTCACAGTTTCTCATTTTTTGAAATATATAAAAATTATTAAAATATGAGAATAGATTTTTATAATTTTTATAAATATTATTACAATAATGAAAATTGAAAAAAAAGGAAAAAAACAAATTAAGTGTAGCATATAAAGACAGCTTATTTTTATTTAAAAGATCACAATAAAATACTATTATATTAAAGCGAATATTTTGAATTCTACTTAATATTTTTTCTTTATTTATTATTTTGAACTTTTTATACATTTTAACAACAGATTTTTCTTTATTTTTTGCTATATTTCCCTCCTCTTTTACATATATCCACTCACTATCTTCAAAAAATAAATTCTTTAAACAATTATTTCCCTTATCATCTTTTAATTGGTCATATATTATTTTGTTCATATCAATCAATCTCCTATAAATATATGTTGTATTATCATAAGTATATTTATAAAAATTATTGATTTTTGATAAATTTTTTAAAAGTGTATTGCCATGTATACTTTTAGTAAATGTACTACAACATCTAAGTAAAGTTATTATATTTTTGATAACTTTAAAGTTTTTAGATTTTCTATTTTTATTAAAAAAAGTATAAAATAAAGAAGATTCATTAATAGCACCAAAGGAATTTATATTATAATAATAAGATGAAAATATTCTGTGAATTAAATTATTACATATATTAAAATTTTTTACTTTTAGAAAATCTATTAACTTTTTTATATTTAATTTAACAATTGACTTGATATTTATTTGATAATTTAAAGAAATTCTAATGTATATTAATAATGGTAATAATGTACACAATAATTTGCTTGAATTTCTTAATTCTTTATAATTTTCAAAAAAAAAAAAACAAATTTTATAAAATGTATAAATTAGTATATTAGTACTTACATCATTTATATTACTATAATTATTGTAACTTATATTAATGTTATTATCATTATTAATATTAATTTTTTCATTTTCATTTATAAAGTTTTCATTATTTTCGTTATTAATAATACAATATTTACTCATATAAATGTTTTTATTTTTATTTTTGATATAATATTTATGAAAATTATTAAATAGACTATATTTTTTTTTAATTTTTAAATTTTCTATATCTTCTTTTGTTTTTTTATTTAATTCATCAATTCTTCTAATTTTTATTATTTTATCATATCTTTGCTTTAATCTAACTCTATCTTTTGAATTTACACATTTCTTTATATTTTCACAAATTTTATCATATATAGACTGTAAAATATATAAAAAGGTAGAATAAATAAATTCAAAATTTGCAGATCTAATAAGAACACTTAATTGCAAAAAAATTATGCATTTTGATAAATTATATGGTATTAATATTTTATCATTTTTTTCATTATTACGTTTTTCCTTAAATTTATTGTTATATTTTTTTATGTCAATATGAAGGTTTAAAAAAGCATAATAATAAAATGTAAATATACTAGTATGAAATAAATTGAATTTTAGAATATATTTTATTAAATCTATTTTATTATATTTCAAAAGTAAAGAAATTATGTTTTTATATTTCATTTTAGTAATATTAAAACCTAAATGTTTATAAATTAATGAAAACAAATAAAATTTTTTTATATAAGAATATCTGAAGTGACGTAATAAATAATAATAAAATAAATAAATGTTATTATCGCTATTTTTATAATAAATATAAGTTAATATTTTTCTAATTTCAGATTTTTTTAAACTATTTAAAAACATAATAATTTTTTTTTTGTTGAAATTATTTTTATTCCATAAGTAAAGAAGATATATACTATTACATTTTATTAAATTTTTAGGATTATTTATACAATTTTTAAATTTTAAATAAAATAAATAGTATTTAAATAACTTATTTTTTATAATAAAATTTAAAACTTCATCATTACTTTCTTTTTTTTTTAAAATTATTTTGTAGTAATTTATCCATGAGTATTTTTTTTTAGTTTCTTTTAGATTTTTTCTAATTTTTTTAATTAATTTAAAAATTTCACAATATATGTTTAATTTTATTATGTTATTGAAAAAATTGTTAGGTAGTGCTTCAAAATTCTCACAGTTTACTTCATCATAATTTATATTATTACTCTTGAAAATTTTTGAATTTTCTTTTTTTCTTAAAAATTTTTCTTTTTTAGAGTAGCATGATTCTAATAATAAGACAACTTGACTAAAACTTAATTTATTCAATATATGGTCTTTCATAATTACATTTATAATAATTTTTAATTGAGATGATAATTCTAAGTTATTATTTAAAGCATATTCGTATAATTCATTTGTTTTTAATTTATCAACAAAAATTTTATTTTTATTAATGTTAAAATATGTGAGATAAAAACTATTTAGTTTAGATTCTATAATAGCAATCATATTTTTGTTATTTTTTTCTTCTTTTAAAATTTTATAAATGTATAAACAGTCAATATTATGTTGGTTATCAAATATAGTAGTATAAAAGATGCATTTAGTGTAATTATTTAAATTTAATAAATCATAATATTTTAAGAAATACACATCTTTAATAGACTTGTTGTTTATTTCTAATATGCTGTCATCCTCCTTTTTTTCATTTTTGCAAATTTTAAAAACCTTATTTATATAATTATATCTTTCTTTTATAAATTTATTCAAATAGTTGTATTTTTTTGAAAAATAAAAGGAATATAAAGTATTAAATATAAAAGGAAAATAATAATCACATTTTTCTAAGCATATAAAAATGTTCATTAATTTATTTTTCTTTTCTATATCTTTTGTGTGTTCTTTATAGTCGTTTTTATCTATGTTATTTTTATTTTCCTCAAAAGAATAAGTATTTTTCATATCTTCTCTACTGCAAATTATATTATCTTTATTTCTAATTTTGATACTCTTCTCAATGGTATTATTTTTTTCATTATAACAATTATCACATTTTATGCAACATCTGTTAATAAGAAAATCAATATAATAGTCATACAATATATTTAAATTACATATTTTTCTTTTTTTTCTTCTATTTAAAATTTTTTCTTTCAACTTCATTAAGACATTATTATCTTCCAATAAAAATAAGAAATTACTAGTTAAATGTCTTTCAATAATCGTTTTATTTTCATAAATTCTTTTAAAATCTATTTTATACTTTATTTCTTTAATAGAATTTGTTGTAAAAAAGGAAAGAATAAAATTATTTTTTAAATTGGCAGTATTTTCCTCATAAAACATATTTTTTAAAGAAAAATGCGTTTCAACATTTTCAACAATAATTTTATGATAATTAATAAAAAATAAAGAACAAAGTTTTCTTACATTTATATATGAATTACAAACAAACAATAAATATTTTATTATAATAAATATATCAATACTAAATAAATAAAATAAATTATAATTAATTTTTTGTTCATAAGTTATCTTTAAATTTTTCTTATTTTTTATAAAAATATGCTCATAAAAATCTATTGATGAAATATAATCAGTTATTGAATTGTATATATTATTTATTAAAATATTAGAATATAAGAAAAAATAAAATAAATAATTTATATATAAAAGTTCATCATTTTCTAATAGCAACAAACAGTATTTCTCTAGAGCTGCATTCATATCACTATAACTAATATTTAAATATTTATTATTTTTTTTTTTTAAATTATTAAAAAAAAAAAACATATCTTTTAGAAAATCTTTTTTTTTATATAAATCTATAAAATATTTTTCAATTAATTTTGTTTGAACTTTTAAAGAATTAGACTTCAATAATAAATATCTATTTAATAAAATACTCTTATTTTTTTTTTTGTTACTTTTTTTTGTAGTATCAAAATAATCTTTATTTTTTAGGTCTTTATTATTTTTTTGATCTTTTTTAATATTCATTAATACATGTAATCTATTTATAAAATACATAAGGAAGTTAAAAAAAGTGTTACTTTTTCTCTTTCTCTTCATTTCTATCTTTGTTATTATTTTTAATATTTTGTTTTTTATAAATTTTAATAATGTAATTCCTTTTTCAATCATATTCGAATATGATATACATATATTAAGAAAGTCATACAGTAAAAAAAAATCTACGTTTTCGCTGTTTATGAAAATATAACGATTTAATTCATTCCTTTTGCATTTTTTATAATAAAAAACCATATAATTTAAAAAATTTATTAACATTTTATTGTTATATTCAATTCTGTTTCCTTTTTTTTTGTAGAATAAATTAGAATTATTCATATACATTTTTTTAAATAATGAATTTAGATTTATATAAAATATTAAATTATAAATGTAATTTTTTGAAAAATGGTTCTTATATCTATTGTATATTAAAATATTGAGATGTTTTTTTTTTTTATCAACTATATTTTTAAATATATATTCTTGTGGGTCACTAAATATCAAATCAAAGAAATATTTTTCAAAATTTTTATTATTTTTTAAATTATCAAAATGTAAAGTTTCACTAAAACAAAAAAAATTATTCTTATTGAAATTCTTTACAAATTTTGCTAAAAGACAATAAATATAAAATTTTTTTTTTTTATAGAATAACCCTTTTTTATATTTACATAAATGTGTAACATCTATTTTTTTATGTAATACATTTTTCATTAAATTTAAAAAATTTAATTTAGAAAAAAGATAAACCCTACTAAAATGTTCAAATCTTCTTGTATTAACATCTTTTAAGAATCCTTTATTTTCATTTAAATTTTTAATATAATTTCCATTTATATTTTTACTTGTTCTTTCATTTAATTTTCTATTTTTATTATCATTTTCTTCAATTTTATTATGATTGATATCTTTTAAATTATATATATCTTTTTGATGTAATTCTTTAATGTATTTTGTGTGTGATTCTTTTTTATATTTTTCATTTTCATCGAATTCAACATTAATATTTAATAATTTTTTTTGTCTACAATACTTTTCAAAAAAAATACATAAACGAATATGCACATCTTCAATAATTTGAAGTAATAATGTTTTTATATTTGAAAAAAATATAGATTTTTCATTTTTTATAACTTTTAATTTTGAATACAAAAATTCAATTAGATATATAAACGTTTTAGATCTTATATTTCCATACCCTATACATCTAAATAATAATATAAATATGTATAACAACATTTTTATCCTACATTCGTTATATGTTATCAATTTATAATATTTTTTTATATTTTCCATTCTTTTATTTCTAAAAAAAAAAAAAAAAAAAAAAAAAAAAAAAAATTTTTTTTTTTTTTTTTTTTTTTTTTTTTAT